TGCAAGCAATGCTGCTTTCTGTAGACCCGTGTTGGTTTTGTGTTTTTGACTGTGGGGTGGGATTCTGCTAGGTTGACTCTGACAAATGATAAAGGTAGAGGTGGACACGCAAACTCAAGGACTTAGCAGCATCATGTTTCAATTGGTTTTGTGTCTGTCCATCAGTGGAAGCACAAACATTTAGGAATTTATTGTCAGCTTGAGATGCTTAAAAAGTAAGATGTCTTCAGAACATTGGGTTCAGGGATCTAAAATGACTCCAAGGAGTAAAAATCTCTGGATGTATTTACTTAGGATGATATCTTCACCTACACTCTATGACATGAGTCTGAACTGGGCCAAATTCCAATATTTGTAGATGTTAATGGGAAGATATGCTAGAACATACGTACCAGACTAAGAGTGTTGTCTACTCCGTGACATGGAAGTCATAGAACAATAAGAGGAAACAAAGGAGATGTCCTGTAGCTAGTGTATTACAGAAGATCGCTCCAGTTTTGCTTCTGTTAAAGTAAATGGTTAAACACCATTTTCAAGAGTGGAGCATTAGGTGTTCTGATTAATGGTTCTTCTTCATCTGGAAGCTTAATTCCTTCTTGTCCCAATTGTTCTTTTGGAATTAAGGTGAGATTTTTTATTGGAGTCTCTTGATATTGATAAGAAAATTTATCTAAAACAGAGAGAGTTGGTTGACATAATAAGAAACATACAAATATGACATATAAAGCAGCATGAATTCCTGGAATGCAAGCAGAACTCCTATCATCAGTAGAATTTTGTTGTTTTGGTTTTTTGGGTTGATTTTTTTTTTAGGGAGAAGGGTTGTTATTGTTTTTTTGTTTTTTAATGAGAGTAGTAGAGCATATTAAAAGTCTATGCTTCAGTCAACAATCCTTGACAAATCAATGCTATGTACATGGAATACATCAATGTCTATCATGATGTAAGAACATTGCCTTGACAAATTCACTGCTTCAGAGAAAGAGGCATTATTTTACTGGTACATTAGAACTGACTGGTGGCCTGCAAGAACATAAATCAGAATTCATTATTTGAGTTTTTCACTCTCACATAAAAACATTTAGTGCTTTTCTTAGCATTAGACTGAACAGACAAACTCTGAGCTATCATAACCTCTCTAAAGATGAACAAGGACTTCTTCTAGCTTTGCGCCTTATACTTCTTGAATTACTCCTGGGAAATTACTACATGTTTTGTAATGGAGGAAGGAGACAAAAGTGACTGGATCATATCAAACAATGTAGTACGTAACCTGATTATATGAGCCTTCTGTGCAACTGAACTTTCACCGCCTTTAATAGGACTTTTGCATAACAAAAGCTCTATCCTTAAACAGAATGATGTGCGAGTCTTGCAGGGGATGTTTGTAAAATGATTCCATACCCTCTCATCCTGAGACATTAAGCAATCTTGCACAGTTTCTAGAATACTTGGCATTAGAGCCCCTTTCCCTCTTCCCAGCTCTTCCTCCCCAAAAAGAAAGGAAGTAAATAAATACAAACAATGTCCTATTTAAAAACATTACCTTTTTACTGGGCTATGTTCTTGTTTAGCTGAAATAGATAGCGTTTTTTGCCTTCCCTTTTTGATTAAATTTGTCTAAAAAAATCACAAAGAATTTGGCTTAATGCAGCATTATTATTATTAATATATAAAACATCTGTTTCTGTGCTATGCTATATTGCACTTGTGATCTTTTTCTCCCTTTTAAGTATTTTTGGGTATTGTTATGGCAATGCATGAAGATTACAGCTGGGTGAATCTATTTTGGTGAATTGCTGATTTGAGAAAAAAGTAAGGACTTTTTGTTTGTTGGTTTTTTTTTTTGTAGGTAGGGGTTTTTTTTACTACACGGAACATATTTAACAGAAATTGCTATAGGACAAAGGCAAGGTCTTCACATGCCCTATTCATGTAGGCAATAACAGCATCGGCATTAAATCAAAGAAATACAGTGCACAGTCGCACATTAAAATAACAAACTTTTATTAACACAAGTGAGACTGTTTCAATTACATGACATTCCAGCCTATCACTGTACAAAGATAAATAACAATTTGCTAAGGATTTGGGAAGTTTCACAGTATTCTGGTCTTCCATCACATAAGCAGTCATCAACTTGGCTTTTCTTTCTCTCTTTTCTCAGTGAATTACCTCATTGCTGCTCAATAAAATCGCTCAACCACTCAGCTGTATCATCACTAGTTGGTCTAGCAAAGAATACAAAAAAAGAGAAAAGATTCAGTGTTCCAGATTCTGTAACTGAATTGACTTCTCAATGAAATCTTTTTTTTCTAAGACTGATTCTTTCTGATGTTACATAGGAACATCTGAACCTTTGGAAACCTTTTTTTTTATTCTTAAAATTCATTATTGCACTCATTGTTTGTATTTATTTTAATAGCATCCTTATTTATGAACAAATATTCTTCTGCAAAATATGCATCAATTGTTGAACAATATACAAACATACACTCATAGAATTTAATACTAAAATTACTGTATGATTTATTGTTAGTTTGTTTTTTTTTCTAATTAAAGACCTTCAATAATGAATGTAGTCAATCAGGAAGATTGCCAGATGGCACATAAACTTGCTTACAACTCAAAATTCCCATCCAAAGTTAAGAGTATTGGAAATCAGGCAGCTTCTCAAAGCCCAGTTGCTTTAGTGAGAAGAAAGTGCAATATCAGCGCTGTAAATTTGAGGCATTCAGAAGAAACTGAAATCATTCAGTACTGAGGAAGAAGTGCAATAATCAAAGTTAAATCAAGTGCTGCATTTATTCCTTAGATTTGGTAGATGGGGTTATACTCCTCTGTCTAGTTGGAATATTAACAGCTTTTTGTAGCTTGTGACTGACAGATTCCATCCAATGCTGGATTAGATCAATGAAAATTCCTTGATAAAAATTAGCAGTTGTATATGATGTAGGGTTTTGTGTTTTTTTAAATCTGTATTTTAGCATGCACATTACTGCTATTAGCCTAACAGCATGTGACAATAAATCAATGCTGCGTAATACTCTGCCTACTTGCCCGTTAGGTACAACTAGAGGCACCTCTGAAATCCATGTTTCTTGCACAGAGTTTCACTTGGTTTTCTCTTGAGAGAGAAATGTTTGCAGCTGACTAAAAAGGCACAGTTTTGATATACAGATTCAAATATAAAAGGTATGATAGAGGGCAGCGTATGTCATCGCTCTATTGAAAGAATCTTAGTCGTCACAGAGCCAAAATTTAATCAAGCAGAGAACAGTTGAAAACCTCATTTAAATAAATCACATCTATTTAGGGAAGAAAAACCCTGAGGCATATGCTTCAATTTAATTTAAACTGTAATCCATCCAGTGGTTTACATCTGTTAAAAAATATGGAACTTTTCACACCTCTTTAAAGCACAATTAAACTATATTTATTTTAAAACATAATGTGTTCCGAATATGTAATACCTTTTCTGAAATGACTCATAGATGATTGATTTCATAGTTCTTCATCATATAGCCTTCCAAGTCCTTTGAGTTAGTTTCTATATTAACCATAGATGAAATTTAATGAAAAAGGTGTGGAAATGGTGTAAATATATGCCAGAAACTTCAGTGAAACTGTCAATTTATACCACCAAGCCAACGAATTTTGGGAGGGAGGAGAGTTTTCTTAAGTAGTAAAATAAAACATTACAGATAAGAAAATCTAGTTCAAGGACTTTAGTCACAAAAATTTCGTTTAAGTTTAGCCTTGCTGTTCTTAGATCTTGCTTACTAAAATGATTGTCTCCCAAAAAGAGTGTTGTTAACATGGCTTAATCCTGACAATCTAACTGTACTCCCTGGAGTTTGAAGCACAGTGGTAAGAGTAGCATCTATGAAATATAGAGGACAAACAAAAGTAATTCAGGTAGTGATTCGGGAGTGATATCTCACTCCGTTGTATATGGAGAGGAGCCTGGTACTCCACTGTGTATCTATAATGTCTACTTGTGTCTTTTAAATTCTACTTGAACATTTCCTCTTCTGATTTTAAAGTTCTATGTAACTTTTCCCCATTTGATGTTGGGATTTAAAGTCTGCCTTTATGACCTTTCTGCTCCATTCAGATCCTTTAACATCAGGTTTCTTTGGTAAACATAAATATGAATACACATGAAAATACATGTGCATACATTATCTGAAAGATATTTTAGTTCAATGATCACATACGGTATACCATAAGCCACATGCATCAGTCAGTACATGGAATGGTTGGTGCTCATTTAATAGCAGCTAGTCAGTGTTTTGCTTGTTTACTTTTCAGCTAGAACCTAAGCAAAGAATGTCTTGACTGTAAACCAAGAGAATTTATTTACAGTCTGAGCTACCTATTCCAGTACGATCTCTGGCAAAAAATTCTCTGAGAGCCTCAATGATCTTCCAGCAAAATGGGAATGATTTTGCAGTAGTAGAAAATCCAGTTATTATTATGAGTTGCCCAAATATTACAGCAGTGTGGTGGGTATAAGTACACATATTATGGTCTCTTTCAATGTGATATATGTATCCATTTCACATTTTCTGGGTTTAGCAGAACACTTGTATTTTAGCAACATTTTTTCATTATTAAGTGAATAGACGATATAAAATACACTCAAAAAAAGAAGAATTTTTTCTTTGATATGCCTTATGTCAAATGGAGCTATTAGACAGCACATCTTGATGACAAGCTTTTCCATGAATCAGAGAAGTAAATATTGAAAAAATATACATCACTCTTGGAAGTGAAAATTATACTGAATATTTTTCAAGGAACCCCTTGTAATAGGGTAATAATATATATAAATAAAAATCCTCTTAAATATCTTTTCCTATTATTATACAAGTAACTGTGTATGTTTTCTTCCTGATTTTTTACTTTTTCTATTCTTTAGTGATTTTACTGGTGAAGCACCTTTATTGCTACAAAATTTAATCGTGTGTTCATCCAGTCATTCTGTCTTGTTGCAGAGGATCTTGATGATCTAAGAATGGAAGGAGTAACAAGCGTGGTGTCTTCTGGGAGCAAATTCAATCAAACTCGAAGTGCTCATATGGCTGAGCCTCAAGCAAAGGTCACACTGAATATCTGCGCAAGATGTGCCAGGTAAAAAGCTAAACAAATCCAGATCATGCAAACCAATGCATTCTTTTCCCCAGGATTTCAGCTATGTATGGTGCTTATGGGCCAGGTGATGACCTCTCCCATGCTTAAGAAAAAATAATTACTTAGCTACTGGCTACCCTATAACCTCTGGCATTTGGGTTGTGCAACTTATATTTATGCTTGATACGTCGCATCAACAATGAATCAAAGAACATAGTTAGTCTCAGGCCTTATTTCACAGCTTGAAACTATTTTAAGCCTTTCTGTCTCTGAATTTCATTAGTTATTTGAGCTTCTGTGGTTTTTCAGGGGATGAATCAGGGAATTTAAAGGTTCAAATCCATTCTGAAAAGCACCTGTATAAATGGAGATTTAGTTGCACAGGTGCAGTCCAGGATTTCAAACAGTTGCTTCTTAGCACTTTATAATCTCATCCTGTTTCACCTCTGAGAAATAATTTAATCGGGTTGAACCCCTTTTGGTTTTGACAGCTGGAAATAATTCTTGCATTTACAGTATGGGGGCCAAATAAACAGGTTTGTATTCCTGTAGCCAAGTCAACTTGAGAATGCAACACTAACAGAAACCCCTTAAATTTCCTAAACGCATTCTTCTATGCAGACAAAAGCTCATTTGGAGGAAGGATTTAAGCCTGTTTAAATGACAAAACTAGCCTTCTCACCCTTCTGTTAATGGTTCAGATTAGCAAGAACAATACAGAGGCATGCCAATTTTATCTGCCTGCCTTTGCCAATGGCTGCTCTATTGTGTAGTTTGAGAGGGGATTAGCGGCTTGTAAATAAAAAGCAACCTGTGGTGAAATTAAGTCAAAAGTTTGGCCATATGCCACCCTACGTTTCTACTTTTTTCCCATTTTGCTTGTAAATTACTACTTTTAAAAGGCACTTATGTAGGAAGAGGGGCTTCAAAACATTTTCTGATGCTCTGGGAGCATTACTACAGGCATACTGAATTGCCCATGCAATAGCACCTCTTTAGCAGAGTTGTGGAGCCTCAGGGAACTTCAGCTCACAGTACTGTCAGAGCAGCAGTGACTGGATAGCCTTGTAATTCTAGAGAGTTTTGCTGTCAGCAATGTGGCCTTATGCTTTAAGAAAAGAGCAAACATGGTAGTCATGGGATTCTTCCCAATTTACTAAAACAAATTTCTTATGTTGTAAAATGTTTCCAAACAACTAGCTACAGGAAAGTGTGGCACCTTTTTTCAACCGACATTTGTTGTCCATGGATTAACAGTAGGAAGGTAAGGAAAACAGAAATGTTCAGCTTTCTACATGGTCTTTTTGAACTTACATAAAATCCTGTATGGATTACTATGAAGGTTAATTAAATTTTAAATTCCCTAAAAGTAGCTGCTAACAGCAGGTGCCAAGATGCTATATATTCTCTCAATCCTGCACACCAGGGAACAAACAGCTCAGATCTTGAGCCAAACCTAGCAACCTTGTCTATTGCTTTTGTTCTTTAACGGGTTGTACTATATGACTCTGCGGTCTAAAACATGAGTTATGAGAGAAAGATCTCATAAAATTCCTTTGTCACTTCACTTATCAGAGAATGCAAAGCAGTGCTTTATTTCGCTTATACACCTGCATTTCACTCCATAGCCTGTTTAAAGAAGTCAGTGAGGAAATGCATGATGTCTACTTGACTGTGGTTCTTTTCGCTCTTGTTGCAGTTTAGTAATTTCTTTAAATTTTAGAAGAATTAAAAAAAAAACCCAACGTCTCATCAGTAGCAAGGGAAGTCAAAAGAGAGAAATGGGTATTGCTGTTGTATTCAGTATTGAGGAAACTAGCATTTATTCCTTAAGATGATGAATGAAGTCTAGCTACTCTTTTGGAGGGTTCCTTCCTTAGTAATGAGTCTGAGGACACCTTTCCTCTCTTACTTCAAGACAGAGTTATTGTTGCAGTTAGCTCTCTCTTTCAGTATCTCCACAGCAGATTTGTCCAGTATCTTCTTGCAGCAGCTGGAGTAGTGGATAGAGAGAATTGCATGAAGCAAGTGGCTTAAAGGACGCGAAGACAGGGTTTTTTTCCTGTTTGATTCCAAGAGCAGTTCAATTTTCATTTATTCAGTGATATAGCCATTGAAAATACTGAGCTATAAGATCACAGTCCGAGCATTTGTTTCATCTCTATGAAAGCTTCTCAATGTTAGTATTTATCTCCATTTTTATGAAAAAGCCTTGTATTTATTGCACAGTCATAATATGGAACCTATTAGTATTTTTATGTGTTTTAGAAATTATATTTTTATTTTTTCATATTCTCTTCTCTAAGTAGTCTTGTGTGCTATACAGTTTATATAGAAACACTATGGAATTTGAATTTAGGCACATTTGAGTACAATTGAAAAACAATTCAGTATAAATTGTTACGCATACTTTTGGTTACAATTGAACAGGTGTTTTTCCTGCTAGTTTTACCCTTTTTTTGGTTGTATAAAGTGATTTGAAATGAATGGAGTTATTAAGACAGTGGGTGTTCTGTAGATAATAGGGCTGTCAAATTAGATTACCAAATCAGGCTTGCTGAAGGTATTTTGGCTGTCTGTAGGAGGAATACGACTTTTTACTTGAAATTTGATTGGTGGAGTTCCAAATGTTAGGAAACATGCTTCTTGGCTTAGACAAAAAGTTTAATTTTACTCTTTCATTTGTATAATTGAGTTATTTCACCTTGCTGTATTTCTTTAAAAAATGTTCTGCTCTGATTACTCTGCAGTCAATTTGCCTTCTACAATATCTCTTCCAAAAAGTTCCTCACTTCCTCGGACATGTTGGGGCTTTTCTGAGGGATTTATTTAAACAATTGAAGGAATTCCTCAGTACTAGCTTTAACCTAATTTGGCTAAATTTTTTGGATCTCACTTGGAAAGGACAAATAGTCTTATCAAAGTTCCACTTCACTTCTGCGTTAAAATCGTGTGTAAGTTTTAGACCCTTCTGCTACTAGAATTACGTTTTCTTGCCCTAGATCATTAGCCCTTCCTTATCATTTGAGAATTAGAGAGAACAGGACTATGGCTATGTGTTAAGAGGTTAATTTTGCCTGAGAGCAGTGCTGGTATAATTCTGTATGCCCACTGAAGGCACTTGCAGTAAGATACACTGCAGCAATATGTCTTATCTCTTCTGTGGCTTCTGTAGCTTCCTACAACTGGGCTAAACATGAGAGTACAGTGACTTATGAGAAGAATAGACTCTTCCCCCATGCTGAGATATTTGTCATCGGACTTCATTTAGCTCCAATTTAGCACCTTCCCTTTGTACCACTGAAATATATGAGAAAATCAGGACTCAAGTTCTAGAATGTAATAATAAGAGGACAATACCAGCAGCTTTTGATTCCCTCTTTCTCTGTCAGTAGAGCCTTTTTCCTTTGCTAGTAACTGCTATTTAGTTCAAGCTGGTATTAAATGTCCTGCGTGGCTGGTTTTCTCTGACTCTCACTAGGCTGTTACTCCGCACAGTAATAGTTCTTCCCTTTGAACTCCCCTATTCTATTTCTGATGCAGTGTTTAACACAGTGTCAGAGGAAGGTCTTAAAAAAGAATGCCAAATAGGAGTGACTATATTTAGAGATAAAAATCTACTTCGTTACAAAGCAAATTAAATCCGGTTTATACTGTGGTGGAAATCTGCAATGCTGTGGAGGCACTGCATTTGGCAAAATATTCTCCCTTGCCTTAAGTCTCTTAGACAAAAGTAAGCTTTCTCATGAATCATAAGAAATGAGACTGAGAATGGACAGAATTTGAACTAGAATAAACCCCCCAAACTTCCAAGATTTTCTTAGAAACTGATATCTAGCCTTCAATGCCGATAATTTCACCAATCATGTCCAAATCAATAGAGTTATCACAGCCCAGATCAGTAATTTTAATAAAAGGTAAATTTCTCTACTCAGACATCTAGGAGGCAAAGCAGGGGGATTCTTTCAAGTTGTCACACCAACTTGGTTTTTATGGCTCATGACTAAAAAAAAAAACAACAAAAAAAATCCACCCCCCGCTCCCAAACTAACAAAACAAAAACAACCAAAAAACAGAGGGAGGGAGAGAGAGAAATAAAAGGAGAGGTTAATTCTCCTGGAGTATAAATTGGTTTGTAGACTGGAATATAGCTGTAAGAAACAGAGAGCTTACTGTTTTCTGTGTAGATGTTTCACACACGATGAGCGAAATGCAGATGGATAACAGCTTTAAGAGGTTTTTCAAATGGGAAAGTAGCTACAGAACAATGTTATTCCCATAGCTGCTCTTGGACTACAGTGCAAGTTAAGCAGCATATTAAGTCATCTAAATAAAGGGGTGACATCATTCACAAGGTGGAACAAAACAAGGTTTATAGATACAGAAAAAAAGGCTACAAAAACCCCTGTATTTGGAAGGTTCACTTTTTGCTATTTAGTCTGGAAAATTAGCGAAGACACATTTACAACTGTTCTACATTTAGATGATTTGAGCAAATTATTGTAATAAAAATTCCTTCTTCATCTAAGGGAACAACTAGTCCGACTGACTTAGAGAATAGACTGACTTATTCTGTAACAAGATTTTGTGAATCCTTTCTCACATACAGGCAAAACAAATGAATTTCAGGTTTGGCCAATGAATCACAAGACACCCTCACACACAAGTCAAACTCATATGGGTTAAATAAAGATCTAAATGACAGTTTGTAAAAGCCAGACAACACTTATGTATTTTCTCATGTGTTGTGACTTGCACATTGAGGTCTTTTCAAGAATTTAATCAGGCATAAAATATAAGATAATATTAATGTACTATTGAATGAATTTTAGGGGTTTTTTTTTTTTTTTTTTTGTAAGGACCACCCATTAGCCTTGTATGCCCACTGCCATGCTCAAAAGTTAAATCTTGTTCTTGTGGAGTCTTGCCAATGCATTCCTGGAAGTAAGAAGCTTTTTGTTTTTAATAGCGCAGGGGCTGCATTCATTCTTCTTAACATC